ACCAAAAAGAACAAAAAAACCGCCAAAATAACCCAAATTTCTGACCAAAAATAAGCTCCATGCCTCGCGTGGGGTTAAAAATGTGCAACTGCTTCTTCAAATGATTAGCCAAAAAGTTTCCTTCATCCTTCAGCAGTTTTGTTTGTGCCGCCAACCCAATATTGCTTCACCACATATAATACCTTCTCGGTCACAAAAGGACCGTCCTCATGATCAGCCATTTTCATATTCCATCTCATGCCAGCGGCGAGCTTCTTAACCTTTATGAGAACGTCGACCGAGTCTCTCAATATCACTGCACCTTCTGGTCGCAGGATTCGATCCATCTCCAACAGGATGTCTTCCATTTTGCATCTGCTCCAAACGGACAAGTATTACGAGAAAATAATAATATGATAATATGTGATACATATCTCAAGATAAAACAATCTCTCATCCCATATCAGAACAAAAGTTCATGGTGGTTTTTTCCCCCAAATGAAAAAGGTTTATGGCAGTTTTGTGTAAAGCATCAATTTCAGGGTAGTTCTGTGAAATTTACCTACCTAAGAAACAGTACGAGTGCATATATATGTATGTATGTATGTGTTTGTGCACGTATGTATACACAAACACACACACACAAACACACACACACACATTACACGTGAGAAAAAGTTGAAGTTGGTTCGGCATCAGGTAGCAAAATTGCTATAGCCAGGCCCATTTTGAAGGTAAAAGGCCTATATGATGATAATGCTGATGGTGATGAGCATCTACCCTATGCAAACTATCCAACCCACCTACATCATTCCGTAAGATAACTGATTTGCATTGCGTATTTGATAAATACATGTGATTTATAAATACAAATCTTTTAATAGATGGCCAGATGTACACAACAATCAAGACCGTTTGACCAAGAAAGCCTTTCCCTTAAAAAGGAATCCTTAAGGTGCACAATTTTACAATGAAAAGGTTTTGACCAAGAGAGCATTTCTCCTAAAATTGGAGACTTAAGATTCACAACTTTAAATTGGGGATCCCCACAGAAGAGCAATTGCAAATTCTAACCTTTTGAATGTTGCCGGTCATAAATGACACTAATTATTAACCTGATCTCAGCATGGGTGCATAAGTAACAAACTCATGTGCAAAGCAATATTTGGCAAGCTAGGTGTACCATGAAACCTACTACTAGCCAATTGGAGATTCCAACCCTTAAAAGTACTAATTTCCTGTACACTATGGCATAGTCCATAAGTGACAACATTTGAATCAGGCATGGTTCCTCTCAAAGGCCGATACTAACATACACATAATTGTCCAAGTCCTCCCATTAATATAATTACATTGTTCGTTCCCTTTCACTTATCCTCACCTCATGCTCCATGTAATGGCCAAGTAAAGGGGCAATGAAATCGAAGGAAACAACACAAATAAGACTGAGGAGATGCAAGGTATAACCTTCTTTTCTTTTCTTTTTTTTTCTTTCCTCCCACGCCAAATCAAGTAAGGAATAAGAAATAGGATTCATGGAGCAGTCAACAAATAATGAAAATGAATCGACATTTATGATTATTATATTCTTTTAACATCAAATTATCATGGATTTATCTATTTCTCTAAACTAACCCCTAATAAATCATAGTTTGGCGTTAAATGCAGATAAACATGAAACCAACAATGAGGGAGGATTTTCAACGTGACCAGCTATTGCATTTATATCTTCTTTTATTTAGTTTGCCTCAGATCGTCTAGCTTCTTAGTTGCATTTTGTATTGAAAAAGGACAAGGATGACAAACTAAAAGGCTAAGATAAAAGTATTCCTTAAATATTACCTTTCGCTTACTAAAAGATAACTATTCCTTAAATATTTCTCTTTTGTGAACAATTCCACTACGCATGTTTCATACTGGTATTAAGACAAAAGTAAAAGCCACCATCGACTTACTTATTCTTGTAAAGGCTGAAAACACCATTAGCATGGATGAGGTCGTATGTCCTTGGGTATGTGGAGAAAGCTTCACACCTGACAAAGAAGAGCAACGGCATGTAAATCAGTTTTTAAAAAGAATGTGTTATTTGATTTCGGTAAAGAATAGTGTCTTTTCTGTTTAAAGCCTATCAATGAACAATTTCTGTCAGAGCATTGTATTATGTATTATTTAATTTTAAATAGAACTAATTTCAAGTCAGTCACACCTAGATATTTAATTAAGTAAATATGTCCATATATTTCAACAGATTCCTATATTCTCTGTACCAGTTAATAATTGTAAATATAGCAAATAATTGAAATAAAAGAACAATATGGAAACACCTAAATATTAAGAAGAGGATACATACCAATCATGATATATGCCAATTAATCCCCGCTCATACACCACACCAAGCGTAGATTTCTCAGCAATAGTAGGCACAACGTTCATCACCCATAATTTCGGAGATTCAATTGCTGCGGCAAAACTGCCCAATCCTGCATTCATATCCATTATATTACGATATCTCCCTGAGTCGAGTAACTTATTGACACCTTTGTAAGCTTTGACATGCTTCTTCCACAAGTTATTGTCCTCATGATATTTTTCCACCGAAAAGCCAGGTACAGAGTCAGAAGATATTCTTGGAGGAACATCATTTAACCTCTCAGGAAATGTTTTTATAGCTCCTCCAGCAACCTCTTCGGGATTGTTAACCTCAGGATAAGGAGTTACACATGCTTCCATCTTCTTGTACCTAGTATCATAGGGAAAGGATGAAATCACAGATGCAACTATAAAAGGGAAAAGAGAGAGGATGGAGTATCAATGATATCCCATCCTTTATTCTCCAAAAAAAATCCCTATAAAGGGAAAAAGAAACAGATATGATTGAAATAGCTAAAATAGTCTGTATTTCTATTTAAGAATGGTAAGAAAAATAACAAGATAAATAAGATTGAACACTCTCGTGCTCAAAATTGTATCCTAAGAAAGCCTTTATTCCGAAGATTTCCAGGTGGGCTAAATAAATCCTACTTATCAATGTATGATTCCAATGGATAAAAAAGTGGGAGGACAACTATTCCTTTTCTCTTAAGAGTAATCTATAGATAAAGTGTTAATTTACATCCGAGATTGACAATGTTCTCATATCTTTTGTATTTTGACATCTAGTGGATCCAAATATTTGTCTAATCGTTTGAGTTCCATTATGTTTGAGTGACATAGCTCCAAGCAAACTAATCAAGAGTAGACAGGGGCGTAGCCAAAGCTTGCTTGCCTTGGGCGGCTGCGCAGGGCAAGAAACTCCGCCTCTCCCACAACCTCTCCCTCCTCCCCTCGCTTCCCCTCCTCTCCCGCCACTTCACCTCCCTCTCCCACAAATCCAACCTCCTCTCCCTCCTCTTCCAGGACCTCCATCTCAACAATCCCCAGCCCTCCTCCCTCTCCCACTTCCAGGACCTCCATCTCAACAATCCCCAGCCCTCCTCCCTCTCCCACGCCTCCCTCCTCTCCCTCACAACATAGCGCCTCCCTCCTCTCCCTCACAACATACTCGTAGACCACATTTATTTTTCGCCCAGGGCAAAAAATAATCCTAGCTACGCCACTGAGAGTAGACATTGTGCAAGAGGCCAACCTAAATCGGTAATAGGAAGATTATTGTTTCTAATTTTCCCATGAGCATTAAGCTCACGAAATTCATGTTTCCTTACAGCCAAGAAGCAAATCTCTCAATTCTTGCAAATTTGAGTTACAATAACATGATTTGCAGCAGGTATAAAATTAATGGGAGGTAGAAAAAGGCCAAAGAACCAATTCCTTTATAAAAAATTTATCATAGTAACCTAAACTCACTACACATATTAGTTGCTTACCGCTAAGCATGATAAAAATTTAGTCTTTCGTCATTAACATTTAACAAAAACAGTAGACACAAGTCATAGCATTTACCACACATCATCAGCATTTCCCGATTCACAAATTTTAACGCGGGGCTCATCTTGCCTCCCGGGACAGGAATCAGCATTGATTCTCTTTCTCCAGACAGCAATTTCACCCTTCTCAGAGAACTTCTCCCAGCAAAGAAGTTCTGCTACTTCTTCTATCTTCTTCTGTTCTTCCTCAAGGTCCTCCTTCGTACGTTGCCATGCCTGGTAGTTATTCTTCCAGTTAATTGGGGGACCAGAAAGTACCCAAAAACCACCAGGCCTGAGGACCCGATCAACCTCCATCAAGTACTTTCCTTCTGAAAAGGAGAATGAACACGAAAATTGGATAAAGTTTGAACTCGTCGCTCTTAAAGTGAAATGTGCTCATGATTTGATTAATAAGAGTCAAGTATGTTTATTAGTATGCTAACCGTTTGCTCCCCATGGAATCAAGCACCTTGAACAGTGAGCCATATCAAAAGCCCTAGACGGATATGGAAGCTGTATGGATCCAAGAACTCCAATAACAGCAGGGACGCCTCTTTCCAGCGCAAACTGCACCTGCGCCTCATGATTGTCCTTTGGAGCAAATGACATCGCTATCACATTCTTTTTCAATAGATATGCACCCAAACTAGCAACCTGGAAGGATTCTAATATTCAGCAGGCGTAAATGCAACAACTTACAAAAGTGTATCCAGATTCACAAGCTTGGCACGTGTAATAGAAAAATGTGATGCAATGAGTCACAAATTATCCGATCACAACAGAAACCAAGAATAAGAAAAGTGACAAACAAATGCTTCAAGGAAAAATTAGATAAAAAAATGCAAGTACACGTAAACAAGTTATCATATTCTACCAAAAAGTCCCAGAATTATGCATATGCCAATATGATGATAACAAAACCAAGGAAAAAGATTCCTAGTCCTTAGCAACAAACAATAAAATAGAAATGGATCGGAAAATATTCCACTACAAAATAAAATTGGCTCAGCATAAATATAACAGACGGGGTAGATAAATAAATTAGTTGCAAAAGAAAGATTCGACATACCCCACAACCGGTATCGAGTGCAGTCCTAACTGTGCCATTATCAATTGGGATGACAGATGCCAGTTGATCAATATACTTATCCGCTCCCTGAGGAAACTGTGTTCCTCCACCAGGAAACCTGAACACATTTCCTTCATATTGAACCCAATTTTGAACAGCCTTTTCAACCGTCAAGCTTTTATATGGAGCATTTGCAAAAGGAACAAAATCACGGCTCTTTGGCCATGGAAATGGATTAACCCACCCTTTAGGTGCCGGAATAAGACAGTATAATTTTTCTTCATCTGGAGGACAATGCCTCTCTCTATAGATCATGTTGTCTCTAGGAAAGGTCATTGCCCGTCTTTGATCTTGGCAAGGAGTATAGTCATTATATTTGTCATCACAAGGCTTGAAAGTCCGGACACTTGAATCAGAGAGGTCAGTAGGAATGTTTTCTTTATTGTGGTGTGTCTCAAAGTTAAGATTAGGCAAGAGAGTACAATCAGTTTGCTTATTGACCTGTACTGCTATGCTGTCTCCCTTTCCAAATCCACTCCTCTGCCAAGCGCCAAGTAAATAGAAAAAGCAACACAAACCGACCACGATGATAATTGATACAGAGCTTCGTGTTCTGTTATCCCCCGGGTTTCCTTTCACAGCCATTATGTGCCTGAAGTACATTAAGTTTAAATAACCTCAGAAGGGATCAATTGAATATATATTTTAATTGTAGAAAACAACTAAAAAAAGCATCATCACTCTGAATGTAACATACTCAGATATTGAAATAAAGTACCACTATCAAGAAAAGGATGCAATCATCACTCTGAATGTAACATGCTCAGATATTGAAATAAATTAGCACTATAAAGAAAAGGATTCTTCAAACCTTACGTCTAAGAAAACAAAGAATAGTTTTTTTTTTCATAGAAAGCTCTATCTTAATAAAAACATGCCTTTAGATTTTTTTTTTTTTTAAGCACTCCCAAAAACTAACAATGGATCCGTGATTGAATCAACTGGTTGGAGGTAAAACAACACAAATCTACTAACATCTGACATTAGTGATGCATTATTTTTTTTTCTCTAGAGAATTATTAGTGATGCATAATGATCAGTCAAATGCTTAAAGAAGAAACAATCTACTTGCTAAGTGGAGTAATATCACTTTTATATTCAGCTCCCAAGTTAATCGCGGGAAATAACATGTGGTTTACGCTAAGCCAACATTAAGAAATCTAAATCCCCTCCCCTAGAATGTACTAACGCTCGAACAGCAAACCCAATAAAAGACATGACTTGATAATAAAGTATCTTCTACAAGAAAAGAAAAAGCCAATAAACGCGATCCGTTGTTAACATTTCATCCCACAATCTAAATAACAAATAAAGATCTAAATTTGAGAAGAACCCATCTATCTGCTTATCCAAAAAGGGTCGACAGCAAAACAACCAAATCTATAATGTTAACAAAATCTAATCTTTAGAAGAGAGAACGAACCAAGATCTAAACTTTGCAAGACCCAGAGGAGGAGGAGGAGGAGGAGGAGGAGGAGGAGAGACCTTACCTAGATCTTTGATCAGAGGAGGCAGCTGCAGATTCAGATTTGAGAGAGTGGAAGAATCACTGTTGGAAATTAATATACGCTGTCATTACTCCCCGCTGATTTTATATCAGGCAATGATGATGAGAAAGAAAAAAAAATAATTCGTGTAACAACAGTAAAACATAGGGTGGAAGTAGAGAATGTAATAAAAGATCAATTACGATAACTGCTAAAATTAATTCATGTACCAAACCGCGCACTAAAAAAGGACACGATTACAGCTTTTTGTTGAAGTGAGGATGATGATCAAGGGCTGCGAAGGGGGACGGTCCAGGTCACCGCGATCTCCGCTAGCGCGTGGTGTGGGTCCCACTCTGGTGAGGGAGGGATTGGGTGGGGGTGGGGTTTAGCCTGACCCCACCATACAGTGTTGGTTTTGATGAGCATGGGTCCCAAAAGTCGAAATATTAGGATGGGCTGTCTTCATGTGGGTGGGTCCCTATGTAGGGTTGGGGCTCGTTAAATTTTGAGATATCTATCCCCCCTAACAACGGGAGCGTCCAGTATTCATTATCCATACTATAGTAAGAGTTTTGCTATAGGGATCTAAAATATGGGTTCAACAGTGGGACATGTGAGGTGTCCCCCTCCTATTTCATTGTATAATGAGCTAGTGATCATACAATAGGAGGGGGATACCTCACATGTCCCCATGTTGGTCCCATATTTTGGGTTCTTAGGGAATTTTTCCTACAGTAATGCTATAGTAAAATATTTGTAGCATTTGTTTCCGTAGACAGGCAGGAGGATCTAGGCTTAACTTTTCATGATACATGAATTACTGTAGCACAGGCGGGAACTGTAGCGTTTAAAAACATTACTGTAGTATTATTACTGTAGCTCAGACGAGATTTTGTAGCATTTAAAAATATTATTGTAGTACTTACAAAAACTGTATTTAAATACAGAATTATTGTAGCGAAAATAAAAAAAAATGAAGGACGTGCTTTGCACGGGGTGCACACTAGTTTTGTGACAAATCTATGATATTTTGAAGAGGAAAATTCTTTACGGATTCGTATGACATTACTTTGAAGCTTATGCTGTTTCAAAGTAGGATAATATCGGAATAACCCTTCCCATCACATTAGGGTTGCGCGCGGGCGGGGACGACCCGCGAGCTAACCCGGCTCACCCCAGCATGGGTCATGATCCGGCTGAAAGCACCCTATGCCACTAGGAAGAACCCTAGAGGGGGGTGAATAAAGTTTATGCTAATCTAATCCAATTTAAATGCCAATTTAAACTAATTAATAAATATCCTAGCAAATATGATATGCAACAAGATATATATGCAAGGATATACAAATATCACAAGGGTAAACAAAATATAAACAATATAGTGGATGAAATAAACAATGAGAGAATAGCAATAAAGATGAACAAAAATATAAGTGCGTCAAGCCAAACTCAAACACAAGATATGATCACGGAGTTCGGTCCCCACGACCTACGTCTTCGCTCGTCAACTCGAGGAGATCTCCACTATCACAACCGGGTTTTCTACGCTCATCCGAATAATGTTTACACCTCACACTCAGTTTTCTAGTTCACCGAAAACTTTACAATCTCACACTCTTACAATCCCACTTACACCCTCTAAGTGTTAATCTCTAGCCCGTGTCTCCCTCAAGTGTTAGGAATTACAACCTCTCTCTAGGTATTACCACCTACCTCATTCCTCTTGGGACGACCCCATCTCTCACCATACACTGTCTCTCGGTGTACAAGTGTATTACAAAGTGATCTCATAAATTAAGCACAAATACAACAAATTTGTTCTCTACAATGGATGAGAACTCTATGTAGGCTCACACTCAATTGTTACAACTCTCACAACCCCAATAATACTATGTATGAAAATACTTAAGCTCAAGTAGGTGTGTGTAGACAATGAGTGAAATCAATACTAAACTCAAATATGAAATCTAGCTTAAAACAATGATAATCAAACAAGTATATAAATGTAAAGCTAAAGTTTGAGTTTAGAAAACTTCTTCAATGAATAGAGAGAGAGAGAGAGAGAGAGAGAGAGAGAGAGAGAGATGAGTCGAAGTTCAAACACCAAATGATGATCTATTCTAGCTCTTGAGAAAATTTCTTCACAAACTTTAAACATTTTTAAACAAAACTTAAACCATTGTAAAACTTATTTAAAACATTCTCTTAGTCATTTTTGGTCTGGGGTATGAGGGGTATTTATAGAGACCCCAAGACACAAGAAAATCAAAGCAAAAAAGATTAAAAAAAACCCAAAACTGGAACAGGCTGGAAAAAACTAGCCGTTACAGCATCATTCGACTAACGGCTTTCATCAGTCGACTGATGAGTTGACAGTTAGAGGCGTTTTCCAGCTCATCAGTCGACTGACGGACCTTATTAGTCGACTGATGACCTCATCAGTTGACTGGTCAGTCGACTAAAACAAAACAGAAACTTTTTGTTATTCCAGGTGATTTTTTCAGTCGACTGAACACATTCATCAGTCGACTGATAACACTGTATCAGCCTGATTAAAATAGTAAATCTAATTTTTAAACTGCTTTTAAAAATAGCAAACAAATTCTAAAAACTATGAAACTTTGGGAAATAATTATAGACATGATAATACACATGTTACAAAAACCGGTTTTTAAAAATCACCTCCCATTTGAGAAATCTCATTATTTTTTAAAATAGTCCAAAACATGAAAATGAACAACACTTGTTTTTGACATTTTAGCTAAACCATGTTTTAAAACTTTACAAAATAATTTTATAGACTTAATAAAATATGTATAAAGTGATATTAAAGTCTAAACCAATATTTTCACAAAAACACCTATATTTTGATAAAATTAACAAATACGTGTGTGTGATTAATATGGGCTTGAAGTATTAACACACAAGTATAAACCTATACTATAAATACTATAAACTATACCCAAGCTTGATGAAGGTCTTCAATGAGCTCAACTTGGTACACTTTGCTGATGAAGCTTGAATTTGGATCTTCAACATGAATTACATTGCTTCACTCCACTATTCTGCTATCCTCTATTGGATATGATCGTGAATGCTCGATTTCATCCATCCTCCAACGTGTTGTTTGCTTAGAATAAATACAAAAACACAAACACTAGACAAACAATATTAATAGTAAATTGTTTGTTAAACATCATTAAAACAAAAAGGCCAACACTGACCAGGTCCATAGTGGGCAGGGTCTGACCTGGCTCGTGACATACGCGGGGTCACGGACTGAGCTGGGTCTAACTCCAGACCCAGGATGAGCGAAATCAGCCCGACCCTAAGGTTAGTTGGTGTTTTTTAACAAAATCTTAAAGTTAGTTGGTGTTTTTTTAATAAGCCTTTGAAAACCCTAAGGTTTTCTTTTTTTTTTTTGGGGGGGGGGGGGGGGGGGGGTCTAATATTTTCAAAGTTATGAGGATTATGTGATGATCGCCCAAATCTACGTCTAATATTTACCCTTCAAAATATCATGATATATCACTTTTTGCTAGTTAAGATATATCTTAGGATTAATTGCAAATAGCTTGCTACTGTATCACCAAATTGCGGATAGATTCCGATAGCTCTAATTGTATGGACAGACTTATTTATTGAATTAGTTTTAGGCTCTTATAAAAGAGTAAAAAAAGATTTTATAGAGGTGAATAGACCCTATATAGTTATATTAGTGTAGATAGCCTCCAAATTGCTAATTGGTTCTCCTAAAAGAGTCAACAATAGTTCATTTTGCGGTTAATCCGCAATTTAGCAAATAGTAGCGGGAGTCTATCCACACCAGCGGAACTACTGGGGGTTTCGCCGCCATGGGGCTGGGTACATTGGGTCTAGCCGCAATTAACCATACAAAAGATTAATACGTGTGGCAAAACAGATTAAAATATAAGGCCAGTAAAAAGCGTGTGAGCTGCATCTGTGTTATAATGGGCCTTTAAATGTGAGGCATAATGGGCTGTTTACTTGCCGGGCCAAGTGTATAAAACCCAGTGAGTAACATTGGGCTTTCCGGGAAACGGCGTAATTTGCTTGCTGTGTAATGCGACCTCGTACGTGGAAAATATAAAATAATACAAGCCGAAGTACTTGATTTCAGCGTGAATATGATTGGCATAAACACAATAATACTTACACAGACAGTTATAATTCCTTGTTTAATAGACAAGTTTGTTTAATTATGTTTCAATTCTTTCCCTGCAAAAAAAAAAAAAAAAGCTAATTCTAGCTTTCTATTTCTTTCTGCAAAGAATACAATTTCTAATAACTTGTGCTGTTTTCCAAAAAAGAAAAAAAAAGCATTTACACTGGTTTTGAGTCACTGGTTATTACACATCCATATTTGCCCAGTTCTTATGGGCATTTTTGAAAGATTTGTTGGAAAATTAACTAGGATTATTAGTATGAAACTGAAAATAAGTTTTCAAGATGAAAGGAAACTTCTCCCGGTGTGATCGAGAATGCACAAGCACACATGCAAATTAAGATTTTTTGGAACCGGTTACATTTTTTTTTTCATTAGGCTTGTATGCGCGCGAGGGCCCCTCTATTCCTAGGTCCATTGAACATACTAAGGGAAAAAATAACATATTTAAACGCTCTAAACTCTTTCTTATTTTCCTATGTAGGACTAAAGATAACTCCCAATTTTGAAATACACTCAAAACCCCAACAAGATTTTCTCGGTTAAATCCTTGCCTAGCTTAAATATTGGTATCGATCACAGGTGGATAATTGCAACATGAGAAGCAGAACAATCAGAATCTGAGATTTCTGAGGTGAATGCATGATCGATACTGTATTAGTATCCGACCGATCTTCTGAGCTTGGCTGTTTATTGTTTGATTATTTGAATGCCAGATAATTTATTGGAGCAATGATACAATATGATTGATAGCAGAAATTAAAGTACAATACTAAGCTGTTTATGGATGCAGCTTAATTGTTTGTTGTTGTCGTCGTACTTCACTGTTTACGACTCTCAGATTTCGAATTGTTACGGAGGAAACAAGCCTCTGGACTGTGAACTTCCATATTTCTTTGAAAAAGTAAAGATGTTTGCCACGTAAAATTGGATTCGGATCCTCTCCACTATAAAAAAAACGGTGGAGGGACCACTACGTAATCACGGCCATTGATTATCTAATTAATGGGTTGTGATTTTTTCTTTTAGTATAAATTAGGAATGAGTGCAATACACGGGGGTATGGTAAATGTTAGATTTAGATTGTATCATAACCGCATACTAAATAATCAACGATTGAGATTAAAAGCAGTGATCTCTCCACTATTTTTTTGTAGTGGAGAGGATTCCCGTAAAATTTCAAATTGCCAGTTTTTTTTTACGTACGTCTCTTTTGCTCTTGCCATATTTTTCTAACTTTTGCTTCCCATTGTGTTGTCATTAGCCCTTTATTCACTCTGATCCATTAACATGCAGGAAAAGCAAACATTATACTGTTAGGTTCAATTCCTAGCACGTACATATCTCCTTTTTATTTTATTTTATTTTTTATTTTTTTAAGAAAATAATATGTTTAATATCTTCTTTTTTTCTTCATAGTAAATAGATCTACTTATAAGTTTTTAACCCACTGGTGGCCGCCCAAGGCGGGGGATGTTACCACGAGCCAGCTAGGGTTCGAGTCACCTCCATGGGGTATGTGGCGGGGATTAAAGCTAGTGAATTGAACTTACAAGGATACTCTATACATAAGGGGAAAAAAATACTTATAATTAGTTTTGTTTTATGAAAGGAAAATGATTTAAGGACCCAAATATGGGATCAAGGGAAGGGACAGGTGATGTGTCCCCTCCCTATTGCATAATGAGTTGGCATGGCCAACTCATTATGCAATAGGGAGCCCCCCCACCACCCCACCCCCACCCAAAAAAATAATAATTGTTGTCAATTGTCAATTACTCTGAGTGCAAGCTACTCTGTCTACCAATTATAAGCACATGCGTTTATGGTTGTTATAAGTTTATGTTGATATTAGTTGGCCCAAAGGCCTATTGATGGCCTGTTACCTAAAAGCCCAGTTCCCCACTACATTTTCCCTAGCCCCCTCTATTCCTCTCTCCCTACCCGATGGTACTCAATCCCTTCCAATTCTTCGTGTTCTGATAGCCGCCGCTTGGAGTCCCATCTCCCATCCCTGTAGGACGGCTCCTACCATTCGAAACCTTAGCCTCTCTACCGTGTCGGCTGCCCCCTTCTCTATATAAGTCAAGGGTTGGTAGTAGCTCGAGGAGAGAAGGAAGAAGAGATAATGACGAGATCTTGAGCTTTGAGCTCCTCTGTTGTGTGCAATCCTCTCCTCTCTTATGTGAGCTTTGTGCTCATGTGAGCTCTGTGCTCTCACCCCTTTGTGCGATCTCTTTCCTCTTTGTGAGTGATTTAAGCCGAAGATCAGTGGGCTCCCCTTTGTGTTCTTGGTGGTGCACTGTGAGAGAAGAACATAAACTGATTGAGCATGCTTCTGAACCAAACATCAACGACGACGATACTCTACAGTTTACCCTAATTCAAACACCAAAGCCAGTTGTTTGCATTAATTACCGTCTGAAATCAAATGTACGTACGTGTATGCTGATTAACTGCAAATACCGTGGACTCTCACACTCCATAAGCGCGGTGAATTCGTTCCCGGGCCTTGTACACACCTTAAACATGCATGAGGAAATAGTATCTAGCTTGAGTACTTTGCTCTAGAAAAAGGAAAGTAGCCGTACTCATTGAGTAGATGCTTTAAAGAGATTCACGAGAGAACATTCTAAAGCAAAGCCAAATATGTCCATAATTGCATGCGCATTGGGATTTTTAGCTGAAAGCAAATGATCTCATGAAGAAAAGAAAAGAAGACGAATCATCACATCATCAAAATATTTTGCATTAATTAGTTACTGCTCTTTTTTAACATGTTGTTATCTCGCATACATGAGCAACCTGTAATTATTAAAGTAAGATCGAATAAGCAATAGAGTACGTAGTGATCTTTTATAACTAATGTAATGAGCTCTATAAAATAAGTAGTATAAAAATCAATGGATGACAGGGAATTAATTAATGAGTGTCTTTCTTGATCATATGCAAGCAATTTCTGGATTGAGAATCCAGTCATGTTATTGGATTGTCGTTAATTGCCAGTAAAGGTTTTAGGTTCATGGAACGAAATACTCAAAGGTACCGTTTGACAAAGGGTTAAGTGAGAGGTTAAGGAGACTTAACCCCTTCTTAACCCGCCAAACACAAAAAATTTATACAAGGGTTAAAGTGAGTTAGCCCTCCATAATTTGCTAAACATAAAAAATATAGAAGGGTGTTAAGCTAACCCCTCTAGAGTGATTAAAATGAGTTAACCCCTCAAAATAAGGGGTTTACTAATACTTCTATTTAGAAGGATTAAGAGTTAACCCTTCTAATTATAAAGAAAATAGTCAAGATCATTGTTATTCCGAAACACTAAAACTGATCACAATGACTAAAATAAAACTTATTTAACGGGTTAATAATTTAGTCATTGAATGAGCTAAGTACATTAATCATTCTTTTTAATTCCTCTTCCTTAACCCATTACCAAACGGGGCCAAAGTATATATCTCTTGTGTTACTACGTACAAGGATAACTCCCCTGGCCTATGGATCGTTATAGGAATCAATTATTGGAAAGCAACAAACATCCACTGTTTCTCTTTTGCTTTAAATCAAAGTAAAAAAGTAGAAAGAAAAAAAAAAAATTTAATAAGAATAATAACTGCCCATCGGTGGCAAATCTGAGTTGGAATTTTGCCTTAGCTTGGACCAAAGACCAGTCCAATCTTGGCTTCAAACAACTTGTGCTTTACGAAATCCCCCCCAAGCTGCATGTGGCAACGCGTATAAAACTTATAAAAAATAACAAAAGAAAATAGAATTAAAGTAGAAAATAAAGAGGAGATGATTCTTACATGGATAAAGAAGAAGATTAAAGAGAAAGGGGAATTATAATGGATGAGGGAATAGGAAAGCTTGTTATGGGTCCAAAGAATGGCCAAAGAAAAGCATAAAGAAACTTGATTTAGCACAAGAAACCAAGCGCTCTCCCTCTCTCTCTCTCTCTCTGTTTTTTATTTATTTATTTAAATTTATAGAATGGAGTGCTCCTTGAGTTCCAAAGCAGGAATTTTCTAAAGTTGGGTGGGTAATAAGATGAGATCTCATGGAAGCGGAAAAAGCAAGTTGTTGTGTTTTTGTTGGGTACTATTCCCCAAACATCAAACTCTCTCTCTCTCTCTCTTTACTTGGCGAGGGGGAGGGATTTGGGAGACAAGGAACCTATAGAAAGATACTTGGCTTCCCAAAGATTTCGTGTTTCTAAATAATCTACATACCATCTTTATTCATTACCTGTGAGAACCTTCTAAAACAGCCTTAAACCCCTCTCTCGGGCTCTGCATCCGTATATGATTGCAAGTGAATCTAAAATCTTATATCCCTCGCCTTTTCTTTTATTACCTTTTAATTAAGACCCAAGTATTTTTTTCCCCCCCACCCACATATAAGCCTATATCTACTCACAATGTGGCATTGTGTGAAGGGGAGGATCGCCACCAGATCATCAGTTCGAGAGACAAAGAAAAGCAATATGGGTAGCTCTCGTGCCGCTTGCAGGCTTCTAGTGCTGCTCCTGCTCGTTTCTATAGCTCTTGCTCCTTACAAAGCCCTCGGCCTTAGAAACTTGGACCTTGCTCTGAGGAGAGGTGCAGCTGAGGAGCCTCGTGATGCTAAGGAAGCTGATGTTGTCGGCTTCGACGCGAAGAAGGGATCGGAAGCGCCTTCTCCTTCGTCGTTCGATCTAAATGGGACGAGCAAGAGACGAGTCCGGAGAGGGTCTGATCCGATCCATAACAGGTGTTGATGGCGAGCCGCAAATGCTTTTTTAAGTTTCAGAATATTTTGAGGGGGGTACAAGCTGGTTGTATTGCTTTGAGATATATAGTTGGTTTTCTTCATTTGGGTTGGTGACCATCTTCTTGTTTCATTACTTGGGGGGGAGTTTTTGTTATAGAGGAAATTTGTACAGAGGTTTCAAAGGGAAGGTTGATTATGGAGGAACTCTGAGACAACTTTCTCTGATTTGCTATTTAGATTCAGATCAAAATGGCGCAGAGAGGGTCATGGAAGAGAGATTACAACGATTAGTTTGTTCTTTTTTTATGCCTCAGGTGGAAAATTTTATACATATGTGCAAGTTATAGTGATATTGTATTTTGTTTTTCTTTTTCTTTTTTTTTTCCCTCTCTCTCCTTTTTCATGTTCTTAATTATTATCTCTTTATCATATGTGATGAGTTCCTCTGATGGCTTCCTTTCTTATAGCTTAGTTTAAACAAAGATGCGTTCCAAGATTATTTAGAATATTGTTCCTGGATTTTAGTTTTTCCTTTGTCCACCTTGTTTAATGCCGGTAAAAGTAAATGATACCGATCGACTTCACAAAATTACATAGGACTAGATGCTTGATTTGCCTTCTCAAACGCTGAAGATCATTGTCATTTCAGAGAAGATGCAGAGGAAGAAATTACATTTAGGGTCCGTTTGGTTTCAAAAAAATGCTTGTGAAAGCCTGACAAATTGTCAGAATTTCAACCAAAAACGCCATTTTAAGGGGCGTTTTTGGTTAAAAGCTGACAAAAACAGTAGCTTTTGTACAGTTTTTGTCAGGCTTTCATCAAACTTCTTTTGAAACCAAACGCGCCCTTAGGCTCCTTTTCATAAATTGACGTTCCGCACTTTAAAAAAAAAAGAAGAAGAAAAAAAAAGAGAAGAGCATTAAATATCAGTAGTTAGAAGAAGAAAAACAATATTATCATACCTGGATTTTTTAATCATAGAGGTTGCCGTTTTTTTAGCAGTCCCACCCAGCCGCCGCATATTTATTATCATTGCAGTAGTTTATTTTCATGACAAAACCGTGTCTAACTTTGATATTTTAACAAGCATATGCTACATACAATTTGAAATTCCATTATTTGCTATTATGTCCTTGATTCAAAAAATCTTGCATCTGGAACCACTTAGAAACTTCAACCTCATGTTCTCAAACTTTCACAGAGGCACAGATCCTTGATATCTATATCACTTAAACACGATTTTCTGTAATATGCCAAAATTCATCAGCTATTACTATAAATGGAAGCCTATAAAGAAAATTCTTCTACATTCCATGGGTACTCCTACAAGTAAATGATACATCAATGTACATGAAAATATCTCTTCTAGTCGTGATCGTGAGAATATCTCCTCTCTTTGTTAAGTTTCAATCGAAGAGGAGATAATTTGCGCGCAACTGCTTGCCAAATCATTTGCACTGCATCCCCCTCTGTTGATGGATACTGATACTCGAAATGATGAGCAATTTGCTGCAATCTCTTCCACATCTTTATCCATTCATCACGGTCAATTCCCCTCAGTAGCTTCACTAGAAATCCCTTCTTGACAGAATCAGAAGCACGGACAAATACCGAAAACTCTGAATAATCTAAGATATCCTCGAATGGGAGTTCAATGTCATCGCTTATAATAACAGGCACACAGTGGCTCACAATAGCATCGAAGAGACGGTTTGAAGATGGAGTATCTCCTGCTATATTGAGGCAAAATTTTGATGAAGCCATTCCTTGTCCTGCTTGTTTGATTCCACCTCCCCGTGCACTTCCATAAGTGAAATGTACATCCTTTTCATCTTTGAGAAGTTGATAGAGCTCCTGACGAATCATGCCACCCTACATATCAATGAGGCAAAGTAAGTTGAATAAACATATGTGCAGTAAGGCCAATTAGTACAGTTTTAGGTGTATGCAAAGGAAGCAACCAGAGTGACAACTTAGTGCGAGAATTGTAGTATTGGTTGCAAAAGACTGCTATACTTTACTCATTTCTGTTTATTGCAAATAACTGCTATACTTTACTCATTTTATGTTTATCAACAATTTACATATGATGAATCGATCAAAGCAATAACATCTAAACAATTACAGCTTGTTTCTCCAAAATTTAGTGGGGAAAAAAAATCATCCTTATTAGTTTACATCGATATAGGAAACTAAATTTATTGACTACTTCTAGTTGATCAATTTAATTAACAGATCATCAATTCATTTACTAAAGACCCTTGTCCATAGGCCATGAAATGAGTATTCTTCCTTTTACAGAGAAATACAAATTAGCTAAATCAAATGTCAAATGGAGATAATAAAACCTAATTGGATTCCTAGTGCTTCATATCAAGCTCTCAGAATTTGTTTGTTGCTCGAAGCTCAATGCCAGACTTGTGGGCTTTATTTATTTTTCTTGCAGTAGTTTCTGCACAGTTATATCCTTTTGTTCTCAAAAATAACATTTCACATTGACTTTGGTATTCTTCGTACATGACGTTGTATTTTTTTCTTAATTACATGTGTTATCTCATTAGGAAGCAATTACAAAAAAAAAAAGAATAAAATTGACCACAGTTTCACTTATTTTTACAATTAACTGAACGGAGAATACACCACATTTCCATCTGAGTTAGCAGATACCCACAACACTGAGTAGTAACTTATACCGATATCGATAAGTTAAGAGGCATTTTCCTGACGATATGTCATTAGCATGGATAAAATGGGGCAGTGTTTCTTTTGGTTGCAAAATTTAGGTAGTTTGGCCATGTAAGCATGCGGATACAAAACGAATATGAGAAAACTAGATAATATTGAGAAAAACATAGTTCATGTGATTCGAAAGAGGTCCTTAATATGTTCATTATAGCTAAAAAGCTAAGATTAGACATCTTGATTATCAAAATTAACCACAAATCTCCTTAATATGTTCATTATAGCTAAAAAGCTAAGATTAGACATCTTGATTATCAAAATTAACCACAAATCCATAATTTAAGAATCGAAACTATCAAGATTAGACATCTTGATTATCAAAATTAACCACAAATCCATAATTTAAGAATCGAAACTATCGTAAGAATATGACTAATGTGCATTCGGACATTTCGGATACGGATACAGATATTTCACTACAAAACCATATTTGTAACCATATCCTCGGTTATAGATTTGAGTAACTATATCTGTATCCTAACGGATACCGTTACGGATATTTCCTCGGATACGGATACAGTTTACCAACCCTAAGAATATACCACATTTCCATCTGAGTTAGCAGATACCCACAACACTGAGTAACTTATACCGAAATCGATAAGTAAAGAGGCATTTTCCTGATGATATGTCATTAGCATGGATAAACTGGGGCAGTGTTTCTTTTGGTTGCAAAATTTAGGTAGTTTGGCCATGTAAGCAGCAATGTTTCGAATTAAACATGCTTCATTAAAACTCACTTGTTAATTTGATTGTAATACCTATTCGTTGGTCGATGTATGATACATAATAACTTTAATATAAACAGTCATTGGAAGCATGCAACTTTTCCAAATTATTGGTACTAATAACAAAAACGAACCAGTGCTAGTGCTTAGCAGTATGAGATATCAAAAGGTGATTGTTCCTAATTTCTTAAATTGTAGACCACCAGAGTATCACCTCATTCAAATGCCTAAACCTAATGGATGATTCTATGTTCTATTCAACAGAAGAATACTAATCTACACAAATATGAGAATCATAACAGATGAAATAAACAAGCAAGTCCTTTTCAAGGCAACTTACATCCTTCCTAACGATGGCTCCTTGGAAATAAACCAATGTAGGGCGGTCTTCAAAGGGGGCGGAATCCTTTCCAACGGAGTTGACTACGTGAACATAAGGGGCCACAATATCCTTCTTTATGTTCGCGATCTCAACTGGGTATCTCCCGAAATCTGCAAGCAAGAACATAGCAGACCCCAACTTATTCCTAGCCTCCAGCATACTATTCGGGTGATGCGCTAGAATGATATGATCCTTTCCTCCCCATCTCTTCCACTCCTCTCGCTTAACCAAGAACTTCACCAATTTATCCTGCAAGAAATTGTTTCTGCTAATCTTCTCTCTACCGCGAAGCTTAGAATGTCGATTATAGCTCACTGATGAGAAGAACGGCACGAAGAACACATCAGCTTCCCTCGAGTCGTTCACTCTAATTGTGGTGCAAGGCCTCACTATGCTAGGAGCATTCGAAGCAAGGAGATCCAACGTCAACCAATACTCTACACTGTGCTGAACATTTAGCCCACCAGGGTACCTTGGAATCCCATCCAAATTACCAACATCCGGCCATATCTGGTTCCTTCTCGTCCCTTTCCAATCCAGCAACCCAAAATGGAATTCAGGAGGCAAGTCGTACATATAAACCTTGAGTCCGGCCTCACTTACATCACAAGTTGTCTTCTCTCTTTGAGCGCCGGAATTTCCTCGAACACCTTGAGGGGCTGTTGTAGGAGGGTGTTTTCTATCGATACGCCTGGCATTTGAGGCTAGCGTGTTATTGGGGAGCATGAGCAAGAGAACTGAATCAGGTATGAGTGAGTTACTGTTGCTGGACTTGAGAAGAGTGAAGCAAGAGAAGAAGAGGAGGAAGACTGAGAAGGAGACTACACAGAAGAGTAGCCTCCTGGTCTCAAAGAACGAGAAGGGCTGCATCTTTCTCTCAGACATGGGGAATTCTACTCAGCTCGCGATCAAACAAATTATCCCGATCAAAAACAACTAGACTTAAACCTATAGAGCTCCAGTCTCTTTCCCCAAAAATAAAAAAATAAAAAAACCCAAAACCCTTATCAGCTCCAAGCACGAGAACAAATTCGTGAAGGTAAAGAACCATACCAAGGGCTGATTTTCCTCAAACCAAGAGCATCCGTTAACTTCTGGAGCAGACCCAACAAGAGCTGCACGTTAAAGAACAAGAAGATTGAAAGAATTTGACAACCGAGTTGGGTTTCAACTCAATTGTTCTAAAATTCTTTTTTCCATTAGAAGTCAAATAGAGGAATAAGGAATAGTAATTAAAATACCCGCAATCAAGGTGGGGTGGGCTCTCCCTCAACAATTTGTCAAACGATCGAATTATTATCTGAAAGTGTCGATATATAAACAGGAAGATTTGAGGGGCAGCAAAAAAAGAAGAGAAATTTTTGAGGTGATTTCGGTATGATGAGGGGTTGGTTTGCGATGCCAATCGAGTGGTGGAATCTGATGATCATCCCACAACAACAAAAAAAAAGGAACTTTACCAAAGGTGAATAATTATGCGGTTTAATCTCACTGTGTGTGGGCACACTGTGTTAAAGGTAGTCCATGGGTTTTGGGTTGGACCTGGAGGCTGCATCTTCAACATTTTGCTCAAAAATTTCTCCAAAACAGGAAAGCAAAAGTCATATTCTCCAAATTATTTTTGCTCTAACTTTAACAGTTTTTTTTATTTTGAAAAATCATGCATTTATTATAATAATAAAAGTATTCTACATCCCTATTTTGGGATGTTCTTATGCATTGGAACTGCCCTCATTGCTTTTTTTGTAATTACAGATTTTGTTTTATATTTATTTTCTCCTCCATCCCGTTTTGAAGAACGTGCTGCATTTATGACAAAGCTCTCCCCAAATATATGAAGAATGCCCCAGATTTGGGGAAGACTCCCTTTTTTTTTTCCTTCATCCCTATTTTGGGGAATAGGATGAGGAATCTGTTAGACTAAAAAAACCCAAAATTCTCCAAAATTGAGAATGCCAATAAAATGGGGAAGCTGTTGGAGATGCTCTTGGACATCAACGCAGTGGGAACCGAGAACGTAAAATCTCGTCAGGACAATCTGCGTGCGTGAGCCAGGAGAGAAATGAAAATCCAAATATAATTTTAGTCGAATATAAATATTATTTATTTTTTCCCGTGACGACGTGCCGGTTGCACATTCTTAGCTGTTGTGGGAATAAGTTAAATTTATTGAATTTATATGTAGTAAGCCGTTTGGTTCCTGTTTTTGGATGAGTAAAAGGGGGGAAAGCTGTCAAAAATGTCAGCTTTTTGGCAGCTTTCCCTCAAAATCGCCGTTATAAAAGGCGATTTTGGAGAAAAGCTGTCAAAAACTGATATTTTTAACAGCTCCCCCCCTACCCATCCAAAAAACCAATCCAAACAGCCCCTAGAGTATTTGATTTTGAATCTTGTGATGCATGACTTGGAGTAGTAGAGCTACGGAGTTCCCAAGAGAGAGAGAGAAGAAAATGGAGGATTAATAATTACCTTTGTTCATAAAGGGTTGTGAAATTCAAGTATCTTGTACGGTCCCAACAGGCTTTATAGCTGTGTATTTTCGCATGGGTTTTAATGCGTAGCGTGCCCCGGGTGAATTTTATTTTATTTTATTTTATTTTATTTTATTTTATTTTATTTTACTCACTAGGCCTGTCAGGCCCAAAACTAATTAGCCGAGTTACCTGTGGTATGGTGCTCGCAAGCCCAAGCGAACAAGCTCGCAAGCCAACATGAGCTCGTTATATTGGATAAACTAAGAGGTTTTTTTTTTTTTGGTTTTGGTCTATTTTAAAGAAGACTCAACTTTAAGCGTGGGAAGGTAATTGGGTTTGGTAACTGGGTCATTTTTACTCAAGTTATTCTACTTTCTCCATCCTTAATGCTAATTAGTGAAATTTATCTTACAAAGTATGCACTATTTGCCACGGTTAGTTACTGGGCTGTTTGTTTCAAAAAAATTTGGATGGGAAAGTGAAAACACTCCCAAAGAACTATTATTGTCTTTGTTTCAAATTTTTTTAGGGCAATAGGTTTCTATGAATTGGCTTTAAAACACCCCTTAAATCTTAGAAAGGTTAACTGCATATCAGTCCCTTACATCAACCTTAACTGCCAAATAATCCCTCAAGTCTCATTATTTTCTTCTTAGCTCCTTAAATCTTCAATTTTTTTGCCAACCCGTCCCTGATATTAGGTGGCGTTAACAATGACTGTTAAGTATAATGGAAATTGCTAGATTGTATGTTATAACCCTGCCCATAATAACTCTCTTATTTATATCTCCATTTATCCTATTCCTAACGGGTTTAAACTCGAACCCACTTCTCTAAAACCTAACTCCACTTGCTCTTTCTCCTCCAACAGTCCTCTATCTTCCCAAACCAAATATTGTGCTCTTTGCAACAGTTAGATTCCCTCTAAACCCTATAAAATCTTCTAAATTTGCCAACATACATCATTTCCCTTCATCCCAAGGGCAACAACAAGGTAATCTGAAATGCTGCGTTAATGTTTAATTAACAAAATTTCCAACAGAAGGGCCACTTTGAAAGAAAATTGAAGATTTAAGGGACTAATAAGCAAATAATGAGATTTTGGGGACGATTTAGCAATTAAGGTTGACTTAAGGGACCGGTATGCAATTAACCTATCCTAGAATCCTAGAATTAACTATCTCCGGATTTTCGGAGGATTTGGGTGACGAAAACAATTCCGCCACTGTTAGGGGCTGTTTGGTTGTTGTTGGTAAAGTTGTGTATTTATGACACAACTTGGAAAGTTGTTGTCCACCTCATCATTTTCACTTTTACACTTTTCTTTGTTTGTTTTTGATTCCATTGGAATCATAAAACACTTGTTTGGTTTGCAAAATAAAACTTTAATTGTTTGTTTGGAAAGTGTAAAAAGTGGTCCCTACTCAAGTGATCATATTGGTTGAAATTACTTTTTCCTGACTTCAATGTCAGCTTTCTCCTAAAATCATGTCTTTTTTTTATGAAATCACTTTACATGGGCTTTTTTTTTTTTTTTTTTTTTCTGCACAGCGAAACAAGTCCCTCGTCTCCCTGTACGCAGAGAATCTTGGATTTGGGCTCCGCGCATTACCTGTATGATGAAATGCCCCAAAGAAGAAGAAACCTCCCGTGTCCTGTACTCAAAGAGGGTGAGAGAGGCCCTCACAGGCTTCGCCGATTCAGTGACAGATAGGGAGCGTCCTTATTTATAATAGGCCTAAAACACTCTCAGTTCAAATACCAGGGTTTTTTTTTTTTCTTCTTTTTTGAATAAAATGGGGCAAGTCATCATGCCGTGACAATTCCAATTTCAGCAGCGTTCAAGTACGCGAGCGAAACGCTGAATCTCGGAGCTTTGGCTGCTAATTATATACAACACAAGGGGAGCCCCTTTATTCTTAGAATGGAGGATTAGAATTGCAAACTTGGTTGCAGGCGGCCGTGGAACTCAACTCAAGCAAATATTTTTGACTACGTACATTGTGGGGAGCGATAGAGTTTCGAGACTGGCATGGGCCCTTTCAAACGATCTCTCTTTTACCAGCGGATTGAATGTGAGTCCTCACTCCTCGTGTATGAACGCGACTGTTCTAATTGTTTGCGGACCAATGCTCTGCTTACTAGCGCACCGTGTTATCTTGGCCCTTTTCATGAAACACCGTTATAATTCAGGACATAAATGGATCCAATTGTCCTTTTTTTTTTTGGCTTTGGTCCTCCACATGTGGCGCCCCTTTTAATAATTTTCTGCATGGGTCTTGGTCTCTTCCCATAATTATTGAATTCTTAGCGTGCGTTAGGCAACTTGGCTAAACTAGGATTTAGAACCGGTTCAGTTCAGCTGTGGACCAGCCCTCTCCAATCCACAACAAAACTAGTTTTAGGGGGGCTTTTTTATTTAAGGTTACGAAAAGGCGGCTCAAAATGGCCGAGTCAGGTTCGGTGCTGGCCCAGTTTTAAAGTGTTGTCAGTCGGGTCCTTGGATGTGAAAATGAGCTTGACATTTTCTGTTATTAGACTCCCCCATGACAAAAAAATTGCACCCAATGAGGATTAATCTAACCCCATTAACGGACATCCTTTTTCCTTTGATCCATAAACGAACCTGGGTCCGCTGCTGGTCAAACAAGGTAAGAAGCAAACGCAACTCATACACAAAGGAGGCATCAAAGTAAAATCTTCCCATTAGATTAGATAAAATAAAAAAGGTAGGGTTCCCATGAGTACACTTCTCAAATATCAGAGTGCTCCCTTCGGCGACGCGTCGGAATTTTCTGTGGGATCAGAAATTTTAAAAGAAGATGCAAGTAGTAGGCAACGAGGGGGGGGCAACTGACTGTTGCCACACCCAACAAAACAAATTCAGTAAGCAAGCAAGCAGATAAGTTCTTAAATATAACGACGACGGCTGCGGCGGCGGCGATGATGATGGTAACAGATCATTAGGGGCATTTGGGTCCCCCTTCCTTGGTCTTCCAGTTGTTGTAGCAGGGGCAGACTCCTTTGTTGCCATAGAAACCAGGGGGAACGCAGAGGCACTTTGCACAGCACTTGTTGCAGAAGAAGAGGCAGGGTTTTCTGTATTGAGTCTTTGAGCACCTCCTGTTGCACTGACCTTGGCATTCTGCATTGTGCCTCACAATTAAACCAACAGAAAAAGAAAAAGAAAAAAAAAACCCATCATCAGGGGTTAGCTCCCATCTAGCTACCTAATCGTGCACCGTAATCTGTACTTTGACTAGCGGCTCAAATTTTTAGATGGAGAGTCTCGCGAGACTACTTAAATCATAATTACATTTCACCCATGATACTTTGGTAAGTTCAAAAATGTAAACGCGTCTAAAGAGTATTTAGGGGGAAAAAACCCCAAAATAGGGTACCCTGGTGTGACACGTGAGGTATCGTCTTTGTGCCTCGTGATGCACTGTTTATAAACGGTACATCACGATACACAGAGGTGACACCTCATTATGAACAGTACATCACGGGACACGGATGCGACCTCTCACATGTCCCACTTAAGGTCCCCTATTTTAGGGTTAGCAGCACTCTTTAGAGAAAACCCTGACAAAAGACTCTGTTAAAAGTTAAAACCCAGTTCGCCTGAAAAGTTACTTTTTCTTCGGTATCCATTTTATGCATTATGACTATCCATGATAGTGTCTATGTAAAGTTTTTTTGATTTCATTTTATTTAATTTTTTTCGTTTACGTGTTTTGCTCTTGAGAAACCTCTGATCTGAACAAGAGTTAGGAAAATTAACACAAAATGAACACGAGATCTCTTCACAATTTCTCAACTTGCATTAGAAGCAATAGTTTTTCCTTCACAAATTTATAGAATAAATTTACTGTTGAGGGATTAAATGCAGTGACTAAAAACTTACGGTAGCTTTTGAGACTCCCTGGTCCATACCCACTACCAGCCTGAAAAATTCACACATTCACAGAAAAAAACCAAGAATTAGTTTCAAAAAATTGTAGAGTGAAGAAATTACCCAAATAATTAGTGTATTAAATTAAAACGGGGGAAAGAGATTAGTACCCTGTCCAAATGGTACTCTCCTCCAGCACTTCCTGGGGCAGTTGCCTTCAACGAAAAAAGAGGAGAGCAAAGTTAGTTAATAATAAGCAAATAATAGTAGATTAATGAGAGCAACTGCTAATTAAAGAGTTTTTTCTTTCTTTTTGGCCCCTCCTCTCACCATTGAGGACTCAGCCATCATAATGGCAACGAGAGCAATTGCTAGGAGAACAAGGAGCTTCGCCATTGCCATTTTCTAAGACAACAATGAGGAAGAAGATGAAGGGGGATGGAATGAGAGCAAAGGTTGAGAGATGGTGCCTATTAAATAGAAAGATGGGCGGGTTAAAGAGATCATTAATGAGAGAACAGTGTACAGGTATGTAGTTACTAAATACCTCATCAATGAGAATGCCCTTGCTCTTATATAGTATCTACAACATTTGCCCTTCATACTTAAGTATTGGAAAATCTCATAATTAGTTAAATAGGACTGATGTTTATCGTCCACTCTGGCTTAACGGAACTAATGAATTACATATAATTTTACCGTAAAGTTTCTTATTGGAGGGGGTAAAATATCAGAACCCCGTCTTTAACTTTCAGATTTCATTAGAAAAGACCATTCCTTTAACTGGGGGGTTCTTATATTTTAGAAGTTAAAGGGGTTACTAGTTACTACTTAGTATCCACTTTAACTGTTATAGTGTTCGTGTAGTCGGTAAGAGAGATTTAACTCTTCCTATCCAATTTGATGTGAGTTTTCCACTTTTAAGAATCATTTAGTACATGGAAAAAGCTCCTAAAAGAAGGTGCTGGAGTCTTATCATGCATTTTTCATTCATATGCACTACAAAACATTTGAAGTTTCCCCTAATATGTAGAATTGGCGAAGAAATTGGAGAAGAGTGGGTTTTGGAAGCAGGGGAATAGTTTTTTGTCATGTTCGGTCGACTGTGGTGCTAGGCCGGTCGACCGAATACGTACACATACCCTGGGTATGGGTTCAGGGCTTGGTGCGGTCGACCAAATATCCCCATTTCTTTGTTTCCTGTTTTGATTTGGTTTTTGAGTTTGGTATAAATACCAAACACGATTTAGGATTTTTGGGAGCAACGTTTGTTTTGGTTTCTCGAAGCACAATAAGTGGTATCAAAGCATAACAAGTGGTATCAGAGCTTCGGGCTTCGCTTGGGATCAGGTGAAGGAGTAGATCACTTTTGAAGCTCGTCTAGGGTTTCGGTTGGGGACAAAGGTGGGATCTTTACTATTGTGGATCTTGTCTTCCATCGTGTGGGGGGTGGGATCTTTTGGAGGCTTTTGTTAGGGTTTCAGTTGGAGGTAAAAATCTCTCTTTTTCTGTTTGGATCTATTCTTCAGTTGTTCCGTATTAATTTGTTGGTGCTTTGAGAAAGATGACCGAGAAAGAATGAGTTGTGGAGGGTACTTCTAGCGTAAAGACCATCCAAAGTTTGAATATTCACTCTATAAAGATAGATGTGAAGAAATTTAACGACACTAACAATTTTGATATTTGAAGATGTGAAGTCTTGGATGCGCTCAACGCGCAAAATTTGGAGGACACTTTAGAGTTGGACGGGAAACTCGACGATGTTGAGGAGAAGGTTTGGAAGAAGATGAATCAAACGACGTGTAGTATGATTAGATCTTGTTTAACACAAGATTTGAAATATGATGTGATCAATGAGACTTTAGCAAAGAAGATTTAGAAGATCCTAGAGAGCAAGTATTTGACGAAGAGTGTGAAAATTTACTTGTATTTGAAGAGGAGGCTTTATCGCTTCCAATTAAAGAAGGAAATCTCCATTGGTGATCACATGAATAACTACACAAAGTTTCTTACGGATTTGACGAATGTAGATATTATGATTGAAGATGAGGACAATACATTATTATTGTTGAGTTCTTTGCCCGACGAGGAATATGAGGTCACTGCTTCACTTGTTAATGGGAAGGCATCTCTTTCGTATAGTGAGGTCACCGCTGCACTTGTGAATTATCAGCTTCGGAAAAAGGATAAGAAGACTTCAATTGATACAGTAGCGGGGGCATTGGTCGCAAGAGAGAAGAGTCCAAACAGTAGTAGGAGATCACAGTCTAAAGGAGCACACCCTACAGTTGGTAAGAATCAGTGTGTCTTTTGTAAAGAAGATGAACATTGAAAAGCCGAATGCTCAAAGTTGACAGATCGAGCCGGGAAGAATAAGGGGAAAGCTATTCAAGCTTTAGAGGTGAATGTTGCCAATGTTAGTGGTAACAATTCAGATTCGAATTCTTTAGGCTATTCGTGTCATGCACTACCGTCAATTTGTGTTACCGACTCTACAGAGTGGATGTTGGATACGGGAGTTACATATCACATTTGTCCTAGGAGGGATTGGTTCTCCAGCTTTGAGGAGTTGGAAAGAGGGGATGTCTTGCTCATGGGTAATGATCATGAATGCTCTATTGGTGATATTGGTATCGTTCTTATTAGGATGTGTGACAGAGTGATTTAGAAGTTGGATGAAGTGAGGTTCGTTTCGTAGTTGAAGAAGAACATTATTTTACTTAGAGTTTTGGAGGCAGCATGCTATCGGGTGACCTTAGAGGATGCATCTTTGAAGGTCACATTTGGGTCCACGATTGTGATGAAGAGCGGAGTTTTGGAAGCAGCAGGCTATCAGGTGACCTTAGAGGATGCATCATTAAAGGTCACATTTGGGTCCATGATTGTGATGAAGGGCGTCAGAAACAAGAATTTGTACTATTTAATTAGGAGCACAGTGATTGATGGAGAGCTGACGACTTCTTTGGATTTGGCTAGACTACAGCGTTTGTTAATTCTGGGATATTTGATCGTTAATGCCGTATATGGATTGTTGAGGAGTGCTTTGACCTGTAGATTGAATTCCTGTGAGTACATTGGTTTAAGCAAGAAGACCAAGGTGGAGTCTGACACTTCTATTCATCGAGTGAAGGGTCTTCTAGGTGGTATTCATTCAGGCATTTAGGGACATTCCAAGGAGGCATCATTGAGAGGTAATAGGTATGCGGTTTCCTGTGTTAGTGACTGTTCTAGGCATTTTTGGGTTACATCCAAGTCTTGTTGGTATGAAGTCCTAATAGTCAACAATATGTGGAAGAAGTGTATTGGTAAAAAGGTAATATATCGTTCTGATTTTGGTAGGGGTTCTTTTCTGTATTTGTGCCGGGCTCACGATAGTTTAAGACACTTCATTGGAGAGGAAACATTGAGGCGACGAGATGAGGTGATAGATTTGATGAGTTGTTCCTTGTTGGAGGAGGATCAGTATTTGATGTCGAGCATTAGTTTGCAGAGGAGTTCTTGTATTGATGCTTCAACATATTGGAGCTATCTTATTCATAGGTTGTCGACTGCTGCGTTTGGAGTATTTGGATATGGTGGAGTTGCTTCAGATTTTGGGTTGTTTCGGATATTTGGTTGCCCAGTATATGGTCATATCGAGGATGTGAGATTTGATCCGAGTGCACAATTGGGATTTAGAGGCTTGTTTGGTTATCAGTTGTTAGACTCTGATTTTGTTCTGAGCAGATATGTCACATTTAACTCTCGGCAGGTGGAGAGTATTGGACAGATCATTGGGATATCACAGCGGGTGAAGAGTGATGCTACTCCATGTTGGGTGGAGATTACTCCACATTCTTCAGATCATTTTGTATTGTTTGGGATTCCAGCTGAGATGACACAAATTGGGGATCATATTGATTTAGATACAGATGATGAGTTAGTTAATTCGAGTACAGCTGATGGACACAGTTTATATTTGGCTATGGCCATTGGTTCACCTTAGGTGAAGGTGTTTAGTTCATTTTATTTTGGAGCCATTGGAAAAATTATCAGTTGTAGATTTGTTGGTGATGTTAGAGAAGGGTTAAAAACTCTTCTCGTTGATTGAGAGCCTTTGGAGGTCATTTGGTGAACTACGTGAGGCTTGATTCCTTGGGCAAGAGGATACGTAGGCAGTCCTTTTGATGCAGCCAGTTTGGTGAGTTGATATTAGCATTTGGAGTTTGTTCGCATTTTCGTTTAGGTCTTGACTTGTTGTGGATTGAGTCCGTTGTTATGGATTTGTTTCATTTCGTACAGGACGTAACAAGTGGGACGTTTGGTTGGTATTGATTACGGTTCAGTTTTGGAAAAACTTCGCCGAGATGGAGAATTGTAGAATTGGCTAAGAAATTAGAGAAAAACTGGTTTTGGAAGCAGGGGAACAATTTTTGGTCATGTTCGGTCGACTGCGGTGCTAGACCGGTCGACCGTATACGTGCACAGACCCTGGGTATGATTCAAGGCTTGGTGCGATCGACCGCCAAACCCTGTAATCAAACCCGAGAGTCTGGAGTTGGGTGCGGTCGACTGTCGCGGTCGACCGTCGAATTCTGCAGTTGATTTTCTGGGTTCTATGTTTGTCGGGGTTGACCGTCGCGATCGACCGCGTATCGGGTCAGGCCTAGTTCTTTGTTTCCTATTCTGATTTGGTTTTTGAGTTTGGTATAAATACCAAACACCATTTAGGGTTTTTGGGAGAGTAGTTTTGGGGATATTTGGAGCACAGAAAAGAGTCATTTTTGGAGCTATTAGTTAGGGTTTTGTTTGAGAGATTGAGAGCTTTGTGCGAGAGATTAGTTTGTGGATTTGTAATCTCTATTTGTACTCTTTTTCTCTATTAGTGAAAACTCATCCCCTTTCTTGTCCCGTGAACGTAGGCAACTTGTCGAACCACGTAAAATTCGTTTGTTTGTGTTTGTGTCGTTATTTTGAATTGTTTGGACTTCTTTTGCGGCGTTTGTTTTGGTTCCTCGAAGGACAGCATGTGGTATCAGAGCTTAACATAATATATATACATGGATGTTGAGAATAAGAATCTGCAGCATCCCTCTCATTAGGATGAACCCCAACCTTAAAAAGATTCATGGTTAATTAACAATAAGCATGTCCATTCAGCAATGGCGATGTGGAAAATAGTCGGAATGCTCATGGTTTTCCCGGTACCCAAGCATTTGTTTATTACAAGTGGGCCCAAGTTGAGTGGCCTTAATTGGCGCATTTCAAGGGAGGAGGTGTGGAAACAACAGTGGGCGTTTGCATGTGCTGGCCTGCGCAAATCACGTGAGAAAAGTCTTGAGGACGGCGACATTGGCAGGGAAGAGAGTACAAAATTGTAACGCGCCTCAATCTCCTCATGGTGGGCCATAGCCCATGTTCCTCCGTCTTTCAGGGTGGCCCACTCTTACCCCGAAGAAAAAATCTCCACGGTCTCCCATGTCCTCAAATTATGAAATTTTGGGTAGAA